AACATCTATTTATTAATGTCTTCTAGCCGTGAACTCATTCTTATCTGTTGCCCTAACGATGAGCTGTTTCACACACCTGTGCCTTGCATTTTTGTACCTTGAAAGAGTGCAGAAGTCTGACTTTTATGCCTTATTGTCACAGCTAAAATCTATCAAAAATAACATCAGAGGAAAAGAAACAGAAGACAAGAGAGGAGGAAGAAAGGAGATGATGAGAGAACAGAAGAAGATGTGGAGAAGAGGGTGTCAGAGAGGACATCCTTCATACTGTTGCCGGTTTGACTCGTGTCTGATCCATCTGTTTCCTGTCGACTTTGTTAAACAGTTTAAAAGAAAAACAGTGCTTCATGGAAACAGAAAGAAACACAGCTAAGAGTGCAATGGTTGTCAGTGAGGGATTGGGAGATTTTTGAGTGTGTTTGAAGTAATTTCCGCCAAAAGTTTAGTTTAGTTTTAATTGAAATATAAAAAAAAAATGTAATGACAGGGTGCTCTGATGGCTTATAAAGACCATGAACCATGACAACCATGGCTGGAATTTGGCTGGGCACCTTTGTGGTTCCACATTCCACAGATCTGATCTGTGTCTCCCATTATTACTTGTCACCTCTAATACAGGCATAAAATACCAGAGCACAACAACATGTAATGGCTATTGCAATTTGAAGATTTACTATGAATGGACAACAGACACCGTACACACAATTTAACTTTAAATCAATAAGTAAAATCTTCCTAATTCCCAATTCAGGATCCGAGTCCGACAACGCCAAAATTATAATCATTTGATCAGGGTGGGTTCCCCTTTCATTGCTGCAGGTCTCAGGTCTGTGTGTTAATATGGGAATTGCTCCCAGCTCTGATCACATGGTGCTTCATCATCATAACAGGAGGGGAAAGGTGTTGCTAATCTTCTTATCCACTTTTGCTTGTTAATTGGTGGCACACGATACTGCTGCCAGTGTTCTCTCTGTTTGAGTCGGCCGCATTTTAGATTGAGTCAATTTTTACCAGCTAGATTTCAAATCCGGGGCCAGTTTCACAAAGACAGACTTTGACTGTGGTTTATGTATGACAAATAGTCCGACTAAATTCATCTGTTGCACAAAGCAGTTTAGTTCAGACTGTGAATGAATCCTGGGCAAATTGCTGCCTGAGGAACAGCATCCAACCACTCAGCTCAATTTACCCCAGTGGAAAATGTTTTTCTTTTGGAAGAATTCAACAGTTAAAAGAGTGTATGAAGAGTGTAACAATAAAAAGATGAATCTAATTTGAAAAAAAAATGTATGCAGTCTCTAAAAACTCTTTCCCCCACAACAAGGTTATATTAGCAAACTACAAATTATGAGCCACGTTTTCTTGTTTTTTGTTGCTGGGTGCTACTGGCCACTGCAGGTGTCATTGATTGTTTCCATGGTAACATTGGTCTTAGGCCTGAGTTAGTCTAGGGGTAAGGCTTCTAATGTTTTTGACTTAAAATGAGTCAGTCTTTATTTTTGTGAAACGGTCTAACAACGGACTAACATCAGACTGATCTATGAGCAAAATTAAGACTGGCCTAACACTACAGACCAGTCTGAGATATCTTTGTGAAACTGGCCCCTGCTCTGACTCTCCAGGGGTCTCTTTCAGGTCCAGGGTCTTTTGTTTGGAAAATCAATTTCCTCACATTGGGTTCAGGAAGGTTTTCCACTGGTCCATTTTGGATCAGAACCAAAATTTTGCACCTGTGAGGACCAATACTTGGAGCTGAATGTTGATCCACAGCTCTTGTCTGAAAAGTTTTCAGCTGAACACACTTCACAGAGTAACACACACTCCAGTTAGCTCTCATGCGAGACTGACTTGGCACAAATTTCCACATAAACTCTGAGAGAAATAACATCTCAGATAGGATCTCAGTTATCCTATAATACAAACACCCCCAGAAAGTGAGAGGGTAACTGGGATTTAGTTTACTGGACTCTCACTAGATTGGGTTGACTCCTTCAGATCAGGCTAAAGCTCTTTGCAAAAGCACACTGAAAATTGGCCTGATTCCCCTTTAAATCTCTGCAACTGCTTTTGCCAAAACACCGGTCCGTCTGCATTGATCCAACAGGATTGCTGATCTGATAAACTGCGGCTACGCATGTAGAAATGAAACTCTGTGGCTTTTCTCGTGAATCAAAATGAATACTTTAATACTGCATTGTGCCTGGACGCCATACACAGAGCTGGGTTTAAACAAACGAGACCACTCTTGGCTGTCATCTGTGAGCCGCTGCTCTGGCACGATGGGAAGAGTTTTTGTTTATGGGATGAATAAAAGAAACAAACAGCGTTCCTTGAGGTCCGACTAATCCTGGCTTTACATAAATTAAAAAGCAAGGGAAATGTGTGGACAAGTGAAAAGAGTGCAAACATGCTCTGACTACCAAGTCAACAAATTGTGAGGAGACAAAAAAGAGGGTTGCCTGCAGAAGTCAAGGACGTAGCAGTTCAACAGTTCTGTGGGATGACGTAGAAAACAAAGGTTGTACACACAAGTACAGATACAGGTTAGTCTAAAAATAGTCTTTTGATTAATTATGAACACAGCGAGAGAGGAGTTTCCCCTCTCCAAACACAGAGACTGCTACAAAGTTCCTCAAGTGTTCGTCTTTCCTTGTCAGAAGAGTCACTTTTCACTCCATCAAGGGCAAGAGCTCATCAGTCTCTCCAGCCCCGGTCGTCTTGTTCCTGCCAGCGTGACCGACAGCTACGCTCCCGATCCTGACAAATTGAAAGCTTGCCCCTGAACTAACCTACGGGAGATATTGTGTATGTACATTTTTTTTTTTTTAAAGAGAGGAGCTTGTTTAGCTTTTGGTTTGATTTTCTGTTATATCCTGACATCTACGTGATGAAGACGAGCACACACACACACAGACACACACACACACACACACACACACACACACACACACACACACACACACACGCACACGCACACACACAGACTGACGTTTTATTGAATTTCAATCTGTACTGACAGGTACATACCTGTTTTTTTTTTGTTTTTTTTATTATTATTTTTTTTTATACAGCACCTGAACCACAATTTGAAATTCAACAACAGTGAGCTGGTGGGATGTTGGAAGTGTGTAAGTGAGTATGTGTGGTTAAAAGGTCTGTGTGTGTAATGAAAATAAAAAAGGCAAAAGAGAAGAAAGGAAAGGAAAGCAAGAGATTTTAAGAAAGCAGAGTATATGCATGATTATGCATATAGATCAGAGATTAGATTCACACTGTATCACAGATGTGGCTAACGGAGGACGTCTAAAGGTGATACTAATATTCTTCAGGTGAGTTCAGACTGAACATGAAGCGAATCATTGTCTTGTTTTATTCCCAGATATCTGACTGAAAATAAACAATAATGAGTTTTAGTGGCAGGAAACAGACTAGATAGAACAGCTGTGTGTGTGTGTGTGTGTGTGTGTGTGTGTGTGTATCAGACTGACTTAAAAACTTAACAGGACTCAAATTGTTTCTCTTATTATATAATTTCCCCCACAGACCCAGACATTCATTGAGTCTTACCTGTACAGCTTCAGGTAAATGTGTCTTTTTGGCTCAAAGTGATATATCTAACTGTAACTGTATCCCTGATCCAGGACTGTAGAAGTAGGAGTAGTAGTAGTATTAAAATAATTCATTAATAGTAAACCATTTGTTGAGAAAGATTGAATCCCTTTCCCTCTGAGAAACTCATGTTTTTTTTTTTCGTAATTTACACCCACTTGACATTAAAGTTTCTACCTCAACATTTCAACATTTTTCCTGTTCTGGTTTCCTCTTATGTGCTCAGATGTCCTGCCATCACAGACAGTAATATCAGGCTACTCAAGTTGATGCATTTTCACTGTAGTTCCTTTATGTATTATTTTTCTGTGTCCCCTTGTGTCTTTTCTATTAAGTGGAGATCGAGACTGAAAACATTACAGGATGTTGCATGGCTGGATGTGTGTTGCTTAAGGCACCGGGTCGTGAAATTCAACAGATGAATGCCTTTATCAGACAATAAAACACTGTACAGCGGATCTTAACACTCACAGACTGGAGCTTCTCTGTGGCAACTATTTTATCTTTTGTTACGACAATCACAAGGTGAATAGTAGGACTATGGTGTTGACATTACAAGTATCCACCAGGAATGTGCTCCTACATGTGTGTGTATGACCAACACAGCGCCCGTTGAGCATGGTTCAACTTTTTTTTTTTTTGCCGTGGCCACTGCGCTGACTGGTTGAATTTGCTTCATGTTCAAACTGAAGGCACCTTATTTGTGATACATCTAATATTTTGTACCAATAATCAAATAAAAAAGCAAATAAAAAATCAGAGGAGGACTGGCTGTTACCTAAAAATAGTGGGTAAATATTTATCTGGTAAATTGACGAACTGATGAAATGGCTTTTCATTTCTAATTGTGACAAAGGTGATCCTGCTGCACGTTGTTCCTACAGGGGAGTCTGAAGTGAATGGACAAAAACTGTTAAAGGCTATTGTGTTAAATCTCAACAGTAGGATTCTTCGGGGGGGGGGGGGCAGGTTAATGGGTTACACCGCTATTTCGTCTCCCAGACAGTCGGGAGTTGCCTGTCTGTTGAGGACATTGAGCAGTCTCAGTGTCTCCTCGTCCGTCCCCCAGCCAAAGATCTCCATATCCTCCTCCCCCTCCTCCTCCTCCTCCTCGTCCTCCCCCTCGTCCTCATTGTCATCGCTGTCGTCTGTGTTCGACTCGTATTCTGAGGCGATACCTGACTCGCGAAACCTGGCAAAGTCCAGGCAGCCCAGAGCTTTGACGTCACGGGACAACAACTCCGCCGTGCCCTCAGAGACCTCAGGACTTTTGATCTCTAGCCTGTTAGGCTGGAGCGGCGGAGGAGGCGAGGGAAGTCGAGGAGGCGGAGGCCCCGGGGGTCCCGGGAGGAAACGGAAACACTCCAGTTTGAGAAGACACTGGTCCCTACCTAGGGGGCTTCCAAGAGTCCCGTTGGAAGATGAGAAGGCATTGCTGGTCCCGTCACCGCTGGTTAACGCAGGAAGGTTGAGGGCCGACACCTCGGGTTTAGGGGTCGTGGGGTCACAGATCACTGGAGGGACTGTAGACCGGAAGGTGATCTCCAACAAACTGTCCTGGGAGCCCACTGGAGGAGAGGAAACGAGGTAGAGAAGAAGATAAAGGAGGGAACAAGTGATGAATAAGCAGATCAGAAAGATCAAATATTTATACCATATTCACAAGACCACTGTGCCTTGATTTAAATTCCTCTGCTTCCACTCCCGCTGTTGGATCACAGCAGAATAAAATATGTGATGTGAACTGTGGTGAAGCAGGATCTTAAGACAATCGATCACTCTGTTCGGTGACAGAGCTTTCAGTGTGGCAGTCCCCACCCTCTGGAACTCTCTCCCAGAAGAGATCGGCACAGTCTCATCTCTGGACAGTTTCAAAAACCCACCTGTTCACCAAGGCCTCTGGCCTCTAGCTCACTCACCTCCTACGATCTCCTCCAGTCATTGCCATCCTTATTCTGTCTCGTCTTGTTTTCATTTATATATATGTTTTATTTATTTATTTGTGTTCTTACTCTGTAAAGCGGCCTTGGGTAAGTTATTATCATTATCATTATCATTATTATTATTATTAATAAATCAATGCATATCTCTATTGGGTAAGAAAAAGAGGGGAAAAAAAAACATGTTTCAAAGCATTTCATCATCATCATCCGCATCCTCCTCCTCATCATCATCATCATCATCATCAAGGCTGCGTAGCCAAACATGTTTTGCATCCTTTATGGGCACAGGGCGCAGAGACATATTAAAGGAATAGTCCATCTATTCAGGATCAAATACTCACCTCCAGTGAACATGAAGGAAACAATTCACAGCAGTTATCAAATACCATAAATACATCTATAGAAACTTCTCAAACCACTCCTGCAAAATAATCTGCTTCCTCTCTCTGTTGTTCATCTGAAATAAATTAAAGTCCAGGAAAAGCCTTTTTAAAATCTGCTGTAAAGTTTTATCAGACACAGAGGGAGGGTGACAGACTATAGCCAGGTTCAAACAGTGGGCGAAAGAGAAAACGAAATTAAAAGATGCTTAACAAAGTTAGCAATGATTCAACACAAAAACAGTCCTGTGTTAAAAGATTAGAGGGAGCTGTGCTGGTGGGGGTGTATTGTTCAAGTTACCAGTGAGACATGAAACATGATCCGTGAGGCTCAGCTGGAGTAACAGATTAACACATTTAAAGGATAAATCAGAAACCAAAATAGTGCAAGGTTTTACTATAAACCTCCCACATCTATTTTTCGTGAGTTATTCAGTCGCTTCCTAGCAGCAGAAAACACTTTTTCTTTTATGCTCTGTTACTTTTCAGTCCGACATGCTCCAAACAGATCTTATTTCAAAAAGTAAAAATGTTTTTCTCTCATTATGTATGGTCACAAAGGAGACAATTATGAATAACTGGATTTCCTCAAACACACCAACACAGAAAGAATGGCTCACCGAAATTGGAAAAGATAGACTACACACTAAAGAGCCAGTATACAATGTAACATGGGCTCTTGTAGAGGGGATACCTGCAGTCAATATAAAAGAATAATAGGTTGGTATGGTTTTGATTTGCTTATGTTTTCTCTGTCAGTAGCTGTATTAACACTGAATTATTATTTGTGTTATAACAAAAGAGTGCTGCCGAAGTTCAAGCATATTAACAGAACTTTTGGCTGACATTATTTGAGGGTTTCATTGGTTTAGGATTTAACGTTACTTTTGCTTTGTTTTTTTCTGTTTGTATTTTGTGAGTTAATAAAGAAATAAGTAAATAAATGAATAAAGATCTCCTCACCACCAAATAAATTTGCTTTACGAATCACATCTGCTTTATGTCGCTTCCCCTTTCCCCAAATATGAGCTGGGTTGTACCAAAAGCCACTGTAACTGTTGTGAATCCAAACTGACTGCAGCTGTCACAGCCTCAGCGAAGGAGCAGGTAACTGACTTTTCAGAGCCGCCTTTCAAGCCTGTCAGGCCTGAGCAGTGAACGCTCTAAAGGCGAATTCCATTAATAGCCTTTCTAATGCTAATGCTGTGAACTGAGTCTAAACCTCCTGCACGGTGGTCCCCCGCCTCCTCCCATCTATACACAAATCACGTTTCAGGCTGTGAAATGATGCTAAATACTGTGATATATGCTGTGAAATCGACCTTTCTCATGGTGGACATTGGGAAGTGTGATATTAGGAGAAGCTCAGGTGTAACTAATAACATTAGAGAGTTAAAATTAGGTGTATGAACGTGCACGCTCTGAAAGTGACACACTGCAAAAGAGATGCGGCCGTGATTGATGTTATTGGTTACACTCATGTTTGACAAGTGGAAACTAGTCTATTGTCAAACAGACAAAGTCTATTGATATAAATGTGTCAAAGAAGAAGTTATCACTACACATTCATTGTGCTCCAAAAAAAACCCCCCAAACAGTTAAATCGTGACATTACATTATTACATTTACTCAGTTGTAAATTGCTTTTGTGCAAACTGTCTTACAATAGAGGGACATCACTAAAGCTTCGGTGCAGTAAGAGACCTTGAAGTAGGTGTTAAGTACTAAATCTATTCAATCAGGTGAAGTATAAGGAGATGAGGTAAAGAAGTGCAGCGACAGTGCATAGTAAAGATACTATTATATTACACCTAAGATATAATTTTGACTCCATGTGCATCCTCAGAACAGTTTCTCTGACCTTGTGTGAAATGAGGTGCATTTTGAAATGTGCAGAGGTGGGAATGAGAACTTTTTTTTTTTTTTTTTTTAACCACTGTATTTCTGAAATGTTGGCTGATAAAACAAAAAGATTGATTCCTAGACGGTGATAATTGCAGGTCAGGCTGGACTGCAACAGTACTGAGAAGATTGTCAGGCTCTGATGGTCGATGAACAGGCTTGAAAATATGTTAAATGTGGGTGGTGGTGGTGGTGGTGGTGGTGGGGACCTGGATACAAGAACAGCGACGGTATAATGTGGAGACTGACAAAGCAGAGCGGTGAGGTCCACTCTCACACTTGTACTCAGGAATTTCCATTTAGAAGCCTGTCTAGGTCTGCAGTGGCCTCACTCTGTCTGCTGTCTGTATGAGTGCATATAGAGCTGAATATGTCTGCTCCGTCAGTGTGTGGGTCATGATGTGTGTGGCTGAACGTTTGATCTGTCACATGTAGGAATTTCACCTGACAGTGGAGGCGTGTGTTGATCTGGACCTGGGGGATTAAAATGCTGAATTAAGATGCTTCTTTAATTATTATCTTATTATTTGTGCCTTTTTTTTTTTTTACTGTTTGTTACCTTCGTTCTTTTCTTGTGTTTTTTGTTTCTATTATTTGTGGTGAGTAGAGGGTTTTATATGCGTCCTGTGAACTACTGGAAACCTGAATTTCCCTCTGTCTTCCCTCTGCTTTCCATGGAGACCCAGGATGAGTTCCACATTGCATTACAGGGGATTTTGAGCCTTTTCCCTGTTTTCCAAAATACATTTCTGATCCCGTTATAAACCCAGTGGCGCTCTTAGATGTTTAGGGAGTAGTATTGTGGTTGTATCTTGAGTCAGAACCAAACAGGGTGAAGCTGCTTTTCACTGCTAGGCTGCACACACATGGAACTGACTTCCTGATGATGTTAAAAGTCCCAACTCTGCCCACCTTGAAATCTAAATCTAACAAGTTAGAAACTCTGCTGTTCTCCTCAGCCTTTCACTGATTGTTTTCTCTACTGCAGTTTTACTTCCTTTGTTGAATTTAAGGCAAATTACAATTCATTACAGTGCAGTGTAACTGTATTTTTTAGCATATTTCAATTTATTATATATTTGTTATTGTTTATGAATGTTTTAATGGGTTCTTTACCTTATGTAAAGACCTTTGAATTGCCTCTGTATTTGAAATGTGGTACATAAATATAGCATATTGCCTTGCCAAATGAACTTCTGTATTCAGTGTATAATATTTTTTGATACATTTATTTCATAAAACTGTATTTCACTTTGTATTTTTGATGCAGATGTGGATCCTAATGGAAAAAAAATGTCTAAATGTTCTGGACTGTTAAAATAACACATTTTGTAGATTGTACCGTCTGGGCAGAGCTTTGCAAATTGTCTCCAATATTTCCGATTGCACAACATGAGCTAATTTTATTTTTGGGGATTGGTGTGTTTTTCTATAACTGATAATCATGTGATACTGCTGAATGTCTTCTGCTATGGCTGACCTGTTTCTTTCATGTCAATACCGAATCAAAATAGCTAAAGGGGATGGAGGGGATGAGTTGACTCTGGAGTTCTGCCACACACCAGTTGCTGTTGTTTAATTTCCTACAACATTTATCTCCGTTTGTATAAAAACTTTCCTCTCGGCAAAAGTGTCCCATACATGTGCATCTGTTTCTCTGCAGCTGTACACACTGTAGATGCCTGTGCATGTACTTTTACGAGCACAGGCATCCAGTGTGCATGATGTACAGCAGGTGTGCGAGTCTCATAAACAATCCACTCACTTGAGTTCGGTCCAGACATCTTGGTCTCCAGCTCCTGGATCTGTTTAACCAGCAGGGAGATGTGCTGCAGCAGGTCTTTGTTCTGCAGCAGCAGCTGATGGACTCGAGCCTGGGCCTCGAGCCGAGCTGTGGCCTCTGCGCTCAGCTGGTCCTTCAACAGGTGGACCTGATTAGAGGGACAGATTGAGGAGGAAGGAAGAGAAACAGATGCTCAGTGCCGTGTACAGTATACAAACAGTTTTTTTTCCCAGGTCACTGCTCTGATGGTTGTTACTAGAGCAACGAGGAGAGGAGATGTAAAACTACACTGAGAGGGTTTTTGGTTCTTGAAACCACAAATATATCTTTTTATGGATCAAAACTTCAAATGAAACACAGGAAAAGTCAAAATCACATGGGAAAAACACTGCCAAGGAAAATGGACAAAAGTGCTACTTTACACATCAAAAGCCACATATTTAATAAGTGCAGCTATTGTTTAGACCTTCACCTGGTGACTAAGTGGATCAGGAGATGAGAGGCTTCAGGGTCTTGCTGAGTCACCTCAGCAGGAGGCAGCGATTGATCAATCGCACTGAATTTCACTGCGTGTTAATTAATCAAAGCAGAATCCCCTCTGAGTGTTTTTCCAAGAGGAGGTAAAACGAATCAATCAGTGACAATTCGGTGGAGACGTGTGAAGAAAAACTCAGCACAACAAACAGCAGAAGTGCTCGTTGCACACAGGGCTGAAGTTTGATAATAAACAGATGACTAATTAATTTATAAACCTTAGTTGAAAAATGTATTTTGAAGATGAGTTGTGCGTGTTGGACTCTGGGAAATGACTCGATTAATCAACATATTAATCTGCAGACTAATCAGTAATTAAAACTAATGATTGGTTTTAACTTAACCTTCTGATATTTGATCCCTCTCCATTATGTATACTTACAAAATACAAATACACACAGCCAGAGAGATTCAAGGTGCTGAGGAAACATCAGTGACAGATGCCATGTCTTTGTTATTACCGTGGCTCTATAATCTTCTATTACATTTTTATTGCAGGACTGGCTCAGCTCCTGTGGCAGCTCTGATCCTCATGTAACCTTAATGCCACAGCCTGCTGTGGTCCGTAAGATTAAAGCTCCAACTCCATTTCAATTTAAGACAGAAAGGCTAAGACTTCTATTACACTTTGAATCATTTATATAAAAAGGCAGGAACCGGAGAAAGGCAGTGTTCGCTCAGCGCATACATGGTCTGACACACGCACATACACTTGCACACATATCGCAAAAGCTTTAGTAGCAGCAACAACTCCCCATTTTTACTTCAAAGTACTCTCCAAATCAAATGTCAGTGGCCCCACCTCCAACCTTATTTAGCCTTCTCCTATCATGAGCACATAATTGCTTTCAACAATTTCAAAGGAGAAATTCTCAAGGTTTCAAATCACAAGAATGGTTCAGAATGAGCCCAGTGTGTTGATGGAGCCCACTAACTAATGATTTTCTGACAGTAGAGGCGACGAGGCCCTCAACAGTGTGATGAAGCTTAACCCTGGAGTGTGAGCATGGTCCAGCCGGACTTCAAATGTCAGGTGTGTAGTAGGTAAACGGAGAATTTTATCCAGTGACCCTACACGCATGGTGGAATACTGCTGTCTGTTTTTGTTCATATAAATAGCTTTTATCAATACTAGAGTGCATCTGAACGTGTGCCCGTAAAATCTCTAGGAGAGCAGTTGGCGTGAAGGGGCCGATAAGAGCAGCAGTGTATTTCCAGAGCGCTGTGAATCACCGAACCTCAGGTAGAAGATGCAAGTCACTGACACTCATAATGACTCCCTGGTTCCTCATTTCAGCTTGATGTGGTAATACAGAACTCGTTACTGTGGTGGCATGGAGGCTCTTGGCTCTAGACGTTGACAAATATCAAAGGAAAAGCTACAAAACGAACTGTAATTGGTGTTCGAACAAAACAGAGGACACTTCAGCATCCTGAAACACTGCTGTGCAGCGCGAGAATCTCTAGAGAGACCTTTAGTATTATATTTCGACTGAAAATCATTATCATGCAGTTTTATTTACTTTTATTTAATTGCAGCTGTTTAAGTTAGTACCTTATAATTCAAATTGCTGCAGTTATGTCGTATATGTAATATTTTATGTTTTATGCTGTATTTTAATATGTGGTGAGTTTGTAGGGCTGCTGTCTTGGCCACAAATGTCTTGTAAAGGGGATTTTATCTTATCTCAGTGGCTTTTCCTGGTAAAGTAATGGAAATATAAATAATGCAGCATAATGTTGTTTTTATTGCTCTGCATGTTATGTATTGTTGTTTTAGTAAGTGTTGTTTTAAAGGTCCCATATAGTACAAAGGCAGATGTCCATGTGTTGTTTGATTATAAAGCAGGTCTAGGTTCTATATTAATACTGTGAAAGTATCAAAGTGCTCAGTCCACAGAGAAATGCACACAGCCTGTATTCAGAAACTGAGCCTTAAAACCAGCCGTCAGGACTTCTGGAACTTTGTGATGTCACAACAAAGTAGTCACCGCTCTCAGCCATGACCCAAGCCCCGCCCACCTGGACCATCTAACCTTGCAGGATTTGGTCTCTCTGAGTGTTTACCTGAAATCTGTTATATTTTTCACTCACTCAGAAAACACTCAGCCAATCAGAAGAGCGGCTCAGAGCCTCCTCTCTCTCACTGACCTTTTGTTACTATAGCTCCAGAGAGAAGCCTGAGAGAGAAGTAAAAGGACATTGAGATGGTTTTTGGTTCTTAAAACCACAAATATATCTTCTTATTATATATCTTTTATATTTTTACTACTCATGCTTCAAAACTTTTTTTCATGGCTGCTCCTGTGGCAGCTCTTTCTCTGTCAAACTATGACCCTGCTTCCCTGTTTCCTCTGTTAATAATAATAATAATAATAATAATAATAATAATATTATTATTATTAATTGGGTTTTCAGGGTGACTGTGTAACACCTGTCTCAGGTACCGCAGATAGATGATAACTAGGCTTTTGGCCAACTATGGTGAATTTAAAGAAATATTTATAAATGTGCCCTGTCTCTGTTAAATAAACCAATAGAGAAAAAGTTTAATCATGTCTTCAAACTGACTTTTTTGCTTCTACTTTGATATAAATTTCATTCTGACTTACACCAGATAAAATATCCAAAATATCACTGAGCTACAACTCACTGATTAACTTCTGAACTAGTTTTTAATTGAAAGATTTAATCTACTGGTCATTTAGTCTGTAAAATGTTATACAGTAGTTAATCATCTGTTGCAGATGGCGACAATGTAACACTTCCTGTTTTTTAAAATCAGAATCAATCATCCACAATCTTTTCTACTTTGATATTGTCTTTCTTCCTCCTCTCTCATTGCCTCCTTCCTTCCCCCTCTCCATCTTGGATGTAGGCATCATTTTCACTGATTCTCTGTGATGAAACCTCATCACTCAAACAAGTGGCCGGTGAGGCAGAGAGACACAAGATGGAGTCAGAATTCACAGCCTCTGTCCCAAGGCCTCCACACCTCCTCCACCTCCTCTTCCTCTTCTCTCACACCCACTCACCGCCAGACAAGTTCAGAGGAAGGCAGTCATCTTCGTCCATTATCCTTGCACTTAGCAACAAATAGAGGTGATTCCAGATCGTGTTGGGGCCAGGCTGCCGCTGCAGACCTCATTTGTAAAGACTGACACCCTGATGATGACTTTGGTGGTGTAATTTACAGCTGACAGGACCTCCTCTTGATCTATGGGAGAGTGGAGCTCGACTCCAACACACGCTGCCCTGCTGACAACTCTAATAGCGCATCAGCCCCTCCTCCATGGTTTATACTGAGGCCTTGGGAGCAAGTGTCACATTTATCCTGATGCTGTCCATATTAAATGTCTCACTGAGCTGAGATGCACCAGCTGGTAAAAGGACACAGAATAATTTCATGCAGAAACAGCAAAGAACAAAGTAGAATAAGCTAAAATAAACTTATTCTTTTAAAAGTCAGACTTTTTCAACTGGATAGCTTATCAAAAAAAAAGCACAAAGTCTCGTTCTGAAGCAGCAACACAAGGTTAAATTTGGGTTTCTTCTGCGAAAGATCAGACCCGCTATCTATGGAAAAAGAGCCTGCTACTGCAGATAAAACAAAAATATGGAATGGAAAGCAGATAAGATGAGAAATGTTAAGCCCGACATAATAACAGCTGGATCTGTCTGGTGATTTCCATTTGTCCGTTTGTATGTCTGTTTTGTCTGGTGACCTGTGTGTCCAACTCATTTTCTTTTTATTGTCCCACCTGCACTAGAATCTCACTTCATTCACAGATAAATACTATATTTAAAGCTGCTATCTGTTAGGATGCAGCAGTTATTCTTTTACTGGTTGCCTGGAGGAGATTATTAACCTGATGACCTCAACATTTTGATGAAAGAAGTTTTTAGTGATATTATTGTCATTGTTGCTGTCACTATTTTTCAGGTCAATGCAAAAGACATTGGGCTTGAAAAACCTTTGAGTTGAATCAGTTGATAATTATCATTTTATTCTTAGCTTATTGTCATTATTTTTATTTATAAGTGTCTTTGCTTTTTCTATTCTTACTGCACTGCACTCTTATTTTTTTCTGTGTGTGTGTGTGTGTGTGTGTGTGTGTGTGGGGGGGGGGCTTTGTAACTCTTGTTTTGAAAAGTACAATACAAAAAGAAGTTATTGTTATTTCTCAGGTGAATCCTTATTTCACTTCTAAAAACCATGACTGAATGTTAAAAGAGCTATTTGTAAATTTTGCTATTGCTACATAGCCAATGTTAGTACTAAAGGGATAGTTTGGGTTTTTTGACGTGGGGTTGTGTGAGGTAGTCATATACAAATGGTATATTAACTACAGTAGATTAAGATGAGTGTGGCCCCATTTGGGAAAGCCAACTGGGGCACGGCAGAGTGGCAGAGCTATGTGTTGCTGTGTATGGACACTTTTAAAAATGGCCATAGAAACAATCCAATATCTGTTTAAATGTACGCTTTGTGTAACCCTAAACCTATATTTTCAATGGTTTATCTTCCTCTGAAAGCACCACAGTCCTTTGGCACTACATTTGGCACACTACATTTTTTCAACTGCTGAACTACTGTAATCCTATGCACAAGCG